ATACGAAATTCAACTAGCTACTTTTTAAAGATTTCTGAATTTAAAAGTTAACCTCGACATTTACAGGAAAACACAATGAGAAAATAGAAACTTTTTCGATCACTTGCAGTCTTTAGATGTTTCTAAATGAACGATCTATTGATATTAGATACAAACGATTATGATCTTAAGAAAGAAAGAAATTTATATTCTGAACAGTAGAACAGAAATTCATTCAGAAAGAAGATAATATACTTGTTGATCGTATATTTAAGATTGAAACACAATAATAATTGATTAACAAGAATTTCAATCAGATATCAAAAACGATCCAAACGATAGAATATTGTACAATATAAGAAGGAAAGATTAATCGAACTTTTACTCAAAGTATTCAAATCCGATTTTACTATTTTAAATCAAAATATTCCGACAACACCAATGATTCACTGTAGATTAATGATTTCTTATATATAAATACGTATATTCGATGGAAACGATTGTACATGACTCTGCATCATTCAACATAAATCAAGTATGATGAAATCGATTAGAGTACCGAGTTCGAATTGAAACTGAGAATAACTAGCATAGTTCAAGTATTTTGATATCGGTTGAATCTCCTATGAAAAACGATCAGTATCGATATAGAGGATTGATTAAGTATATATTGAAATAACAAATGATACTGCATATATTATCTAATGGTTTCCTTTCGATTGTACGAAGTTCTTAATGATTAACGAGTTGAGTAGCCTGTTTTGATGATTCATGAATGACATTCCAACAATAACAAGATTCTTTTTGTCACTTTAAAATTTCTATTCTGTGTGTTTGTTATGGACTTTTGCCTACTTGTTTTGTTGTTTCCTTTTACAAGACAACTATTATTTCGTACGATGATTATCTCAATGTGAAAATGAAGGTTTTGCTTTCTAGATGAAATTCTAAAAGTTTATCTTTAATTTGTCGATGGCATACTATTAAGAATTTCTAACGTTATTAACAATAAAATCTGGTTTTTATATCGTAGCAAATGAAATTTGAGAAAACATACTTGAAATCAACAAATTGAAAGTGGTTTAATTAATATAGATATTCAATATAAAAGATTGTAAAGATTTGAATGAAAGTAAAGATGATATGAGAGTATATTCAAAAAAAGATTAATAACTTCCCTGATCAATTAATATATTCGTATTACATTAGAACATGGTTTAGATTTTGATAACTGACAACAAAATTTACTTATTTTCTAGTAAACTATTTTTGAAATGGCTAAACTAGAAAATATTTATCTTGCAAAAGAAAATAATGATAGAAATGAAGATACATATACATATATATTGAAAATCTGTATATTATTAAAAACAAATAATCAACTCGGAGAACTTCCTACGTTTTTTTTACGCAATAGTGCAATATTTCAAAAATAATTTTGAAATTTTTGTTGACTCTGTTTTCTGTTTAACTATTAAACGTACATTAAATCAATAATGATAGTTACCAAATGATGTTATTATATATGGTAACTCATCTGGGTAAAGTTGATATTATCCATCGTTCATGATGGATCCTTCTTAGATCATTCATTTAAATTTCAATGATATTTTTGTCTTGTAAGTGTTACTACGTAGATAGAACTCTAATAAAAATTCTAAAAGAATTGCGCTTCATATTTGAATATGACGAAGCTATCGAGTTTTTAATATGTCGATTTCGTCACTGAAAATTCTAATAATAAAAACTATATTCTTTTAGATTGATAGAAGATTAAATCTTGTTGCACTTCTTCTATGAGAAAATAATCATAAAACTATGAAAAATGATCTTTATACCTAGAATGACTCAAATCTCGACAAGATTTTCTTCAAAACTTCTGCACTGTTCTCACGAATACTTCTATAATCGAGTTTTCTGTGTACACAAAGGTGCAAATCCAAATTGAAAATGACGAGTTGTTCGAAAACCTGGAGTCTCTAGAAAGTAGAAAAGCACTATGGCTGAGTGGTTACGTTGTTTGACACATATGCAGAAGGTAATCGTCTCCTAGTGTCAGGGCTGTCGCGAGGCCAGAAATATTGGGGGGAGGGAAAGAGTCTATCACTTGGAAATTCGTGTGAAAAGTTTTTGCTACAAAAAGACAAATTTCGAGGGCAGTCAAAGACATTTTTAATTCATGAACAACAAAAATGAAAAATTCTTCAAATTTAGAAAAGAAAAAACGAAAATTATTCAAAATGCGGGGGGCGCGTCACTAGAGGGCTGCAGGGTGCAGTATTTTCGTAACCTGTAACCTGCCCTGTAAAAATTCTGCAACATAATCCTGTCCTGCCCTGTGAATTTTTTCGCGTACCCTGCCCTGAGACTTTTTTTCATAACCTGTAACCTGCCCTGCCCTGCCCTGCTATATTTGATATTACAAAAAAATTCATAACTTTTCATCGACTTCGTATATCAATTCTCCTACTTTATGTTGTTTTATGCTTCGATATTCTTCTTCGTATAAAATTTTTCAAAAGGTGTCTATAATGTTTGATTCGATAAATTAATAGCAGGTTAACAGGTTATGACAGTGCTGCCCTGTAAAAATTTCGTAACCTGACCCTGCCCTGCCCTGCTACTTTTGCAACCTGCCCTGCCCTGTCCTGGCAGGGTAGGGCAGGGCAGGACAGGTTATGGGCACCCTGCAGGGCTCTAGATTCAAATTACCTCATTGAATTTCGGCCACATTTCAAATTGGTATCATTAATTTTGAAATATGAAGATCCACAGAAAAGTTGATTTATCTAATGTTTCGTTGACCTTATTTCTATAAGAGATCGGTTTTTCAATCCTTTTTTTGTCAAAAGTTTTCTTTCATAGAAATACAGCTTAGCATAATTTCGTTATTAAAAAGTTCCTTTTTGATAATTTTGAATTAATAAAAATTTGGAGAATCTATACAAATACGATCGTACGAAATTTATTAATATAGACAATAAACAGAATTTCATGATGAATTTTCAAGCATAGAATTATGAAAATATTCGAAATAGGTTGCAAATGTTATTATAGTTTGTCCTAAAAACAAAATACTTAAAACTATAGCTGCTCATTACACGATTGAGGGATATATAAAGTGAGATGTTTTTGTTTATTAGAGAAATTTTTCAACGCTCAATAATAACTGAATGAGCTGTTGTAAAAAAAGAAAGGAAAACGTAGAAATCGACTCAACGAGGACAAAATTTTTTGGGTTTCGTTCAATCTTCAAACCATCATTAGATGTACTATTGAAAAAAAGACAATAATAGAAAGTCATCTAGAAAGTCAATTTAACTGAAGCCTCTAAAATCCTAATTAAAAATAGATTGAATGGATTGTGATGATTTCAATTTTACACAGCTTAAAAAAGGTAGGGTATAAACAACAATATAAGACACAATATCAAACACATCTTATTCTGCTTTAAATGTTTATTCGAAATGTTACAGTTACGAATGCATCTCCGTGTTTGCACAGTAGGTGATGTGTCAACTAATACTATTACGCAATTTCGATAAAGAGTATTGCTCTTTTAGACAACTCTGAAATTTTCTCCCTTTTATTATTTTTACAATAAAATTAAACATACTATTGAAACGTCCATATGAATCTTAATTGTTTAATTTAATAATAGAGTTCTCTGCATTTTAAATGCAATTTTTTTAAGTGTTGACAAACAATTAATTGTAAAACAATCAATACAAGTGTATACTAGGAAAAAATATTTATCATGCATACATAAAATAAATATATTATGGTTCGAGTAAAGAAATAAAGTAAATTGTTTTCGTCATGTCAAGTTCTTAAATTATACAAAGTTCAACTAGCTGAATCATTATGAAGTATGTTTTCTTCTTCACAATACCTATTCTCAAGAGAAAAAGTACTTTTGATTATCAATTTTTTTCGAGTAGTGATTTTTCATGATTTGTTCTTGAGTGCTTCTATACGATTCACACAACTTCTCATTCACATTCAGCACTTAATTTTTAGGCATCAAAACAATTAGTGAATAGACTACGTGTATCTGTGGAAAAACTAAATTACATAGTTCTTCTTCAGATCGATGACACTCTATACACTACTTTGTCTAACTGGAAGAGTACATCAAAGAGTGTGGCTCAGGATATAACTTGCCCGGACAACTATCAAAAATATTTTTTCCTGGGTTAATATGATCATATATATCTATTGTTGGCTTTGTGCACTACGCTTTGGTTGTTATCCAAGTCAACAATAGCCTTAACGTATTGGTTTGATTGATAACAGGGAATACTATAGAGTGAGGGTGAGGCTGTCGTCGGCCTGAAGCAATAGTTATACTATGCTGAAAACAGTTGATGATCGAAAATACTGTCATCCTTTTCTCACTTTGAAAAATTAAGAATCGTAGTTGATTCTTCATGTAATCAAACGAAATTTATTAAAAATAGAAAGCTATAGCTACCAAAGTCTACATTTTTATTAAATTAAAATTCTAGAAACTTAAGGTGTCAGTTATTTTATTGAATTGAAAACAACAACTGAATAAATTTTCTTATTACAGTAACATATATAAATATGTTGATGATTATAAAGATAACTTCTTTTTGACAAAGTTACTATGTCGATGAACTTTCTAAACAAATTATTATTTTATTTTACTTAATATCTAGTTTTTGATAGTAAAATACTCCGTTCTATATTCATATATTTGATCAAAAGAAGAAAAATAACAACAGTAATAATTTTATTGATAGAGGTTCGCTTGACAGAACAGCAAAAACACAGAGAAGTGGCGTTAGTTTATCTGAAAAGAAGAAAAGTCATAGCAACCAGCATGGTTATGTATGTGTATGATGTGGCAATTATATTTATGGAGCATGTGAATTTTTTTTTCTTCGTTTGTTTTTATATTGAATTGTTTACTTGATAAAAAACAAAAAACGACATAAGTAAAAAACTACGTCATATCTATTTTTAAAAAAAATACGTATTCAAATCAACAACTAACTATGTATGCAACTCGACACTATGCTCATGATCCTCAAACAAATCTAAGAAATAATAATAATACCAATAGTTTGATATTCGATCGATCGAATTCTTCTCAATCGTTTCCTTATTATTCAAATTATCAATCCCCAACATCAACTACTTATTCAAATGAAAGAAGTAATGTTGGACAACAACAATCATCATCGGCAAAAAAGTAAGTCGTTTTTTCTATTATTGATATATAGAAGAAAACATTTCTTTTTTTCCTCATTTTGGTAGTTATAGTTCAACGAGTTTAACTCGTTATCCATCAACTAACAATCATATTCGCAAGACGACTAATGGTTCTAGTGGTGGAGGTGCTATTGAAAAAACTAATATGATGTCAAGTGAAAATCCATTCTATGATCCAGCGCGTCCTTATGAACAACTTAATTCATCACGTAAAATAACATCCGTAGTATCTCCACCAAAAAGTAATACTGGTATAAATAAATCATTAAATCTTTCTGATGAAAATCCATTTCATGCTGTCTACGGTGTTTATCGTTATCCATCACAAATTGATCCATCCAAAAGAATAACAAATCAAACTGCAAATATTCGTTCAACCGATAATAAGTCATTAAATTTGTCTGATGATAATCCATTTCATTCAACATATGGACGTTATCATTATCCATCACAAGTTGATCCAACAAAACGTATTACTGAATTACCTAAACCAACGGTACCATTAATTCCAACAAATGATTTATCTGATGATAGCCCATTTAGTACTTATCGACCATCATTAATTCGTGAATATTCAACAAATGGCGTTGGAAATGGATTAAATTCGTTAACAACATCAATTGCTGATTGGACACGAAATAATCCAGCACCACTTTCTTATCGACCTATTCAGGTACATAGACCACCATCAGATTTTTATAGCCGTAATGAATCATCAAATAAATCATCCTATGTTCCACCAGTAAGTCCACCTCGGCAACAACGACAAATATCACCACCACCACCGCCACCACTACTGTCAACACGTACAAATTCTCAAACTCAAAAAATAAATTCATCAGCTCCATTAGATAAAACATCATTAAATATGAGTCCTGATAATCCATTTGCTGAAACTTATGGTCGATATTATTATCCATCACAGGAACAAATTAAAGCACAAAAACGAACAAATGAACGTAATACTCGTTTAACAGAACAACAATCTTTTACTGAAAATAATCGACCAACACAAATAACGAATCAAATGACAGAGAATCCTGAAACAGAAAAGAAAGACATCAATTCAGGCAAAGGAAATAATAAATTTACACGATTTGATGTTACTTTTTAAATTGTTAAACAATGCTTATTATTGTAATTACTTGTAATGTATTTTCTTGTTTAAAAAAAGTCGATCAATCTTCTTTTTCTTTCTTTTTCATTGCATCGATAGGATCATTTTCTATACAAACCATTTCTATGTTCTTCATCCAATGACTTACTTATACAAAGTAATAACGAAAATATAGTTTTTTTATGCATGAAAGACTAAGTTTTATATAGAGTACTGCGAGATATTATAGAATCAACTTCTGCCTTTGACTTATTTTGGATTTTATTCTTAACGAATATCACTTTCTCGTTTAAAAGTCACCATCAATATATAGATTCATATGTATACTCTTGCAGTATGTATATTGCAATAAATAATGGAAGAGCACATATGAATCTATATATAGGTAATGAAGTTTAAACGAATAAGCAGTATTGGTCAAGAATAAAATTCGAAATAAGTTAAAGACGGAAGATGATTTTATAATTTTTCACAACAATGTAAGTTTCGGGCTCATCTACAATGCTGGTTTTTCGTCTTATGTTTCATTATCATTATTAAAAATGAAGCATCTTTTTTCTTTTGCTTCCTATGAAAAATTTCAGGTCATTACTCGTTATTTGATGTATTTTAAGTTCGACATCAATATAAATATTTCTTTGTACACTTCGTTTTTATCAGCAATAACAAGATTTTCTGTAAATATATAGTAATATTTATTATTTACTTGTCTTCATTGTGGCATCAAGTCAATGTCTCTCTGCGTTTTCAATTACAATGCTCTTTGAAATATAATGAATTCAAAATACACTGTTGCAATCTTGCATGTCTTTTGAGTCTTTGTTTTATTTCACAGTAGATCTATAATTTGAATTAATAAAGGTAAAAGGAAGAGCATAAATAGAAATATGTCTGAAAGAAAAAAGTATTAATAATCTATTTTTATCATTCACATAAATAATATAATGAGATCTAGGTGAGCTTGACTATAGATGATAAAGACAAAGAAAGCAGAAAAGACAATTTTTATGACTCCTCTCACTATGCTAATAGACAAAGTAGAAAAATAACAGGTAAAAAAGGCAATTCAAAAACATTTGTTTGTTCTTGATTATTAAATCTTTATTAGAAAAAAAAATGGTTGTAAACAAGACTTTATTTAGAACTGCATTTTTGTTTAATGTAACGATAACACCGTCTATGATTATATTGATTCAACGAAGTCTAAAAGATGTTGATGATTAATCAGAAGAAATGTTTTCTCTTGAGAACTTATCAATAGACTAACCAATTCATGTTAACATTGTCAATATTTGTCTATTGTTACATCTTTCATTGTATATTCAATAATGACATATGTTGAAAGAAGAATAAAAGTATCATGAGATCTATTTATGAATCATGTCATAAATTTAATTATTTAATCGATTCAAACCATTATATTAAAAACGAATAAAATAGTTGAATAAAAAATATGTAATCAAGAAAGATACATAAGAACAAATCAATCGATTATCATAGAACGAACGGCACAATTTGTATTGTGTTTTTTTTACTTGACTAGCTTTCATTATAGAAATTTATGCTTATCCTAAAAACATTTCCCTTGCAATTCTCTACTGAATTACATTAGAACGTTTAATCTAAATGTCCAATGTAGAAAAAGTGACAGAATGATATTGAACTACTCCAAGATGCTCAACTTTCTAAAGAGTTTTTTCCGATCATTATACAACGATAAAACATATCTGAAAAAGCTTTTGAATGCAATAAACTGCGCTCTTTCTTGTGATATAAAAAGACGATCACTTTAATCAGAACATTATCACGCAGAGTAAATTCTTGAAACTGGATTAAAAACAACCAAAATTAGGTTAAATTTGCTAATTTCATCAGAACACAATTATATTCTCACAATGAGCATTCAGTGTAACGAACCATTCAATTCTATTTAAACTACAAATATAAACTCAGAGAATTTAGTTTTAATAGGCTTTTATCAAAGCTTTCGAATGTTCTAAAATTACTGTAGTGTATTGACAATATTTGTTATTATTGTTACATTTATTTCATTTCTTATATGTTGATGTTTGTCTACTGATGAGTCATGATTTAGATATATGTATAATTCTATGCGTATATATATGTGTGTTCTTTTCCTTTATGTTGTGATCACTCTAATTTCGTATATAACAATATTTCTATTGTTATATTTCTTTTATTTCTTTTTCGTATTCTTCATTCCATTTGTATGAGTCATCACAACATATAGATCTCTCTATATATATGTCGTGCCGAAGTTACACTTCTTGCCGAAGTTATAACTTCGACAAAATTTTTGCCGAAGTTACAACTTCGACGGACGATGTTGTTGAAGTTATAACTTCGACGATTATTCTTGCCGAAGTTATAATTTCGTCAATGTGTTTCGTCGAAGTTAGTGTGAATGATAAAATAAATATCAACTTTCAAGAAATCAACAATATCTTTCATGTTGAATTTTAAAAATTGTTTTTTTCCATCAAAACAATAATACAAATTTTATTTTTCAATATTAAGACAAACGTGCGAATATTCAGACGAATAAAAGGAACAATATGTTAATTTTTTTCTGCGTTGAAATTATTAATATATTATATAATCTTAGAGTTTCATAGAAGATTACTGTATCTTTACAATCTACCAAACTCCTTTTCATCTGTATCGCAGTAAATACGTAAAAATACAAGTCGAATGAATATTCATTCTAGCTGAAACGCTAGTATATTTGTCATAATATTGAAAAATAAATTTTGTATTATTGTTTTGATGGAAAACAATAATTTTTAAGATACAACATGAAAGATATTGTTGATTTCTTGAAAGTTGATATTTATTTTATCATTCACACTAACTTCGACAAGAATAATCGTCGAAGTTATAACTTCGGCAAGAAGTGTAACTTCGGCACGACATATATATGCTTGTCTTTTCTTAAAAAGATGATTACTTTTGTTCGTTTCGTTTCATCTAACTTGTTGGTTTTTTCTGTTCTTCAAGTCAATAAAACAAGTTATTGACCTTGACCTTTATTGTATTACGCAACTGATAATACAATACATTTTCTAGCTTTTACGTATTAACATCAATACGTGACAATTACTAATTCAAAATCACGATGTTTGTAAAGTTTCGAAAACAATATTCTTTTGCTGAGAACTGAGTATTGATGTGAAAATTTGTTGAGCATGGCTGAAAGATAGAGTCATTTTACGTCCTATAAAATGGTTAATGGGTTTATTTGAAGGTTTAAAGTCCCAACGAATACAACTAAGACAATTATCTTATATGTGAGAAAGTCGCACACATTGCACGAAGAGAATGTAGTGTCATTCAGTCACTTTTTTTTTAAAGGAAAAGCTTAGATTCAGTGTTCTGATATAATTTTGGAGAGGATTAAAAGGAGAAGTTTTTGAAACTAGGTACAAATTTCTAAAAGACGAGCTAGCTGAGAAAAACACAACATACAAATTATGCCGTTATTTATGAGTTGGTCATCGTTAAAAAAAGTCTATCTATTAAGTTCTTTAGCTACGGCAATACACTATTAGTGTTTACTTCGATCTTGGAATTAATTGAAATCATTTCTTTGTTGGGCAGTTTACAATTGAGTAACCGTTTGTGTGTGATATATATTAAGTTTCCGTGTGATTTTCGATTTTATGATATGTTCAAAATAATAGAGTTAGACCGAATGAAATAATTATGTTGAACTTTCAGAGAATCTCTTCATTATTCATATAATTCTCAAAATCTAACTAACTTAATCAATTACATCGAAGAGTTCAAAGGAAGCTAGTCTTGTCCTAGTCTAACATTCCCTTTATAACTTTAAATGATTCGAATATCTTTACTCGCTTCAGCTCTTTTACTTCTTTCTGTTCATAGCTGTGAAGGAAAAGTTCGATCAAGATAACTTTAATTCCATGTACACCAATGATTACATATGAGTAAATGATATGATTAAACAACGTTTTTTATTTTTTATATTATCCTATGATTTACTTTGGAAAAAAATGATTTATAATTGTATGAAACAGTTCAGTATTACTTTACTGATAAGCGTTGTTCATCAATCAGAAGTGTCTTCATCATATGATTAACTTCGAAAGATTACTTCTATAACATTATTATAATTATAATAATCGACGAGCATGCTGATAAGAATATCTTTTTAAATACTTCTCTTCAAAAATCGAATGAGAATTTTCACATTGATTAAATTAATTGAATAATTTTTCTTAAGATTCATTCATCATTTATATTATCTTTGGCCTTAAAACTAACTTGAATGATTTCTTTGAAAATGAATTGAACGAAGTTTTTACCAGAATAGTTGGTCTTCGACTAAGTTATTCAGTTAAATAAACACTTCTTCATTAAATTTAGTAGCTGATTATTTCTTTGATCAGAATAGTTTGTTGATTGTTTGATTATAAATTAGTTAACAGCATTATGGTATCACGAATATAATAAATAAATGAAACCTGTGTTCATCTTAATCATTCACTTTTTCATATAGATTTCAATCAAATGTCTCATAGTTAATATTTTCTATGAAGAAAACCCATACATAGTGTTTTTTTTTCATTTATTAATTTGGTTTATTTTATCTGTTATTTCTTTTTCTATTATTCATAAAACACAATGAACAAAAATAAAAATCTTTTCAGAAAATTAGAAATGACAATAACATCCGATACTTCAATTAAATGCCTAATACATTAAGTACACATAGGTTAATGAAATATTTCGCAAAAATACTCTAAATTGCATTTTTTAGTTAATTTTCTAAAGCAAGACAACGATAAAATAAATATACTAATTGCCAAGAAACACTGGAAAAAAATAGTAAAGGCAATGCTTTTTGTATGGGTACTTTTGTTAGTCTTCTAAAACCTAATGATGATTACTTTCATTCTTTCTTTTTCTTTTGTATCAGGTTGTTGTATAAGCTCTAACCATGCTGTTCTCAAATT